GTATAGAGTCGCCCAGTGCCCGTCCGGCTCTCACTTGCCCCGGCGCTGTCTTTCCTGGTGGGTTTTCTACCACATTCCTTCTGAATCTGAAGATTTCACTAACAACTCCCCTATGTGACCCTTTCCTTGCTACCCAGCTCAAATATCATCACCCAGCTCCATAGATCGCACTGAGAATTGCAGAATGTTGTATTGGAATGTAGAAGAGGCTGCAGGTGCCACAGCCAGAAATCAGGGCACACAGTCTGCCAGGTGCTGGTGCTTATAGGGCAACAAATGGAACATTGTCAATCACTTCTCATGGAAAATTCTGGGCCTATGGCCTACAGATACAATGGGCAAATCTGAATCTATTAGTAGGACAGATAGAAATAAAAACTTATGACACATGTATTCTAAGAATGACCAGCAGGCTAGGCATGGTATGGCACACCTATAAATCCTCCACTCTGGGAGAGTATGGCACAAGTTAGAGCCCAGCCTTGGTAACTTGGTGACTTAGTGAGACCCTATCTAAAAACAAAAAATGGTCAGGGATATGGCTCAGTGCAAGGGCCCTAAATTCAGTCTCCACTACAACAACAATAATAGTGCTGGGGAGATGGCTCAGTACAATAAGCACTTGCCTGGCAAGCGCAAGGGCCTGAGTTCAATCCAGTTCCAAAAAAAAAAAAAAAAACCAACAACAACAACAATAATAAAGACCAAAAGACTGAAAACTAGAAGGATTACAGATCAATACTTGCATTATCAGACAAAGACTGTAAAATAGCAAAGACTATGATTCCTAGTTTTTCACCCGTAAGCACTCATGCTTCCCTCTTCGCCTTGGGTTCCTTACCTATAAAATGAAGTTAAAGAGATGACATTATGGTCAGTAAGAATGTTGGTGTGGGCGCCAGGGAAATAGCTCAGTAGAATAAGCACTTGCCTGGCAAGTACAAGGCCCTGAGTTCAATCCCCAGTAGTGGAAAAAGAAAAAAGGAATGTTGTATGGTTAAATCTGGCCCCTAACTCAGTGAATGCTCCATGCTGGTCACCCCTCCTTTGGCTGTTCAAAGAGTCAGGTTGAAGGGCCAGACAGTGAACCCTACTCCTTGCCCAGCTTCTTGGCACACACTTGTCCTTGCCTTTGGCTCTCTCCTTACCCTACCTCATATGGTTTCCATTTCTTCTATTTCTCTCACATTATTTGTCTTCTTCCTTTCTACACTTAGAAGTTTCATTTTCCACCTCAAGGAAGTGATCAGGTGCCTTTCTTGCCCTCTGAAGGCTGTGGAGGAGATGGGTGGTTGTCCCCAGTGCATCTGGCTCCTGCTGAGTACACTGAGAACTTCATCAGCTAAGGTCTCCATCTGGCGGAGAAAGGGAGGCACCAAGACAGATTTTTCAGGCCTGCCTGCTAATGGGATGGAGTTAATGGGATAAGGCAGGTGGCCTCAGGAGAGCCTAACATGCTTTGAAGGCCTGGTTTGAGCCAATGCACATAAAATTCTGTTGGCAAAGGGTGCAGAGGCCTCTGCTCAACAAGTGAAGTATACTGGACACACAGTTAGTACCCTGTCCCTCTACAGGCTAGGGAAGGACTGGGAGACAGGAGCACAAACTCACTGTAATAAGGAAAATAGAAAGTAGGCAGACCCCATCAGCCTCAGTGACAGCAACAAAACTTGGAAGGTAGAAAACAGAGAAACAATAGAAAATGACTGAGCCATCTAAGTGGACCTGGATCTGTGAAGAGGAAAAGCTAAGCCAGATGCTGCTGCAGGTCTTTCTTGCTCTGGGGCTGGAACCCCAGACTGTGTGTGTTAGATGCTCTCTACCCCACAGTTGCATTCCCAGCCCAGGGCCCTGGAACCTTAAAATGGTTCGGGTATTAGTAACCTCAGAAATACCAAAGCCAGGACTGAGGCACGGGACCGGATCTAGGAGTGCTGATGGGAGAGTTGTGTGAGGAACAATTGGGTTGCTCCAGTCCCTTCCCTCACCATCCTCCACCTCAAGGCACAAGCTTCTCCTTCACCTTCCTGGCAGAAAGCTGGAGCTTGGTTCTTTGCATGAGTTGGGTCAGAGATCACAGCAGACTCCTACATATCAGCCCAGTGAGGGTGAGAAGGAAAGACCAATCCTGGACACAATTAGTTTATGTATTGAGTCTGAGACTGTCTGGCTCCCTTTACACACGTGGTTCAGCAGTGCTGGCACCTAAGCTTGTGTCTCCTATAGCAGACAGAACAATGGCCTCCAACAATGCCCAAGTTCTAATCCTTGCAACCTCTAGCAAAGAGACTTTGCAGACGGCTTGTGTTGGATGGGAAGATTATCTTGGATGACCTGTGTGAATGCAGTTTGTCAGTCCTTGTAAGAGCTGTATGCAAATACTGTACTCCAGTTTGTAGATGTATTTTTCATGAAGTTGAAGATTAGCAACTCTGAAGTTATTCCATTGCTATACCAGAACTGAACAAGCAAGAAAGTACATTGTGAATAATGAGAAGCAGGCTTGCTTGTCGGTGTTTGAGAAAGAAGTTGCAAATCAGAAAAAGGAGCAAAGCTAAATGTGTCCTACTTTGTTGTATTTTAATCAGAGGACTACACACTGGTGGCCTTCTGTGTCCATTGATTCTGAATCCATAGACTGAACCAACTGTGAGTCAAAAATATTTAAAGAAAAATGTTTCTCTACATTGAACATGCAGACTGTTGTGGCAGGGGACTAGCATGTGCCTGGGGTTGAACCCAGGAATTTTTCACTGAGCTACATCCCCAACACTTTTTATTTTTCATTTTTGAGACAAGTTCTCACTAAGTTGCCCAGACTTGGTTGAAATGTTCAGTCCTCCTGCCTCAGATTCACTGAGTTCTGGGGTTATAGGCATGCAACCCCATGCCTGGGTATTATTTCTTAGTACAATATGACTATTTACATAGTATTTCTGTTGTATAGGCATTATGAATAACCTAGAGATGATTTAAAATATACAGAAGGATGTGTATAGGTTACATGCAAATTCTATGCTAGTTATTTTTTCTGAGGAGGTGGAGGGGACCAGGAATCAAACTCAAGACCTCGTGCTTGCAACACAGCCTTTGTGTCACTGAGCTTTATCCCTGGCCCACTATGCTGTTTTCTTACAAGGGATTTGAGCTTCCATGGATTTGGCACTCCTCAGGGACTCCTAGAACCACCCCCTAGGGATACCAAAGGACAAGGAAGCTGGAACTCCTAGGAGAAATAATTGATTCTAGGGAGGAAGCTGGGAAAATCAAGAGAATCCCAGAATATGTTGCAGTGTCAAAGGAAGGAAGTGCTCATGAAATGACAGAGCTATGTTGTAAAGACACCAGCTTGAAGGAGCTCCAGGTGGCAAAATCTAAGGCAATTTAAACCAAAAAAAGAAAAAAGATTATAACCTATAGAATAAAAGAAACATACCCAAATCATACATAATTCAGTGAATGGGTAGTAGAGAGGGGATAGGTCTTCTTAAGATAGAATTCAAATTAACAAATAGTTGAAAAATGATAGAAAAAAACTCACAATTTTATTTTATACCATACCACACTAGTAATTATTATTTTTTAAATTATTTTTAAATATTTATTTATTTACTTACTTATTTTTGTGGTACTGGGGATCAAACTTGGGACCTTGTGCTTGCTAGGCAGACTCATCCCACTGAGCTAGCTCCCCGGCCCCACAGTAGTAATTATTATAGGCAAGAAATGTCCAGTGGATGCTACCACTGTGGACGGAAGTACGAACAAAGATAGTTGTGTGGTCTGAGTGAATCTCCTTGAAAGATTTATATTAATTACAAAAATGGTAATGTTATAGTGATGAGCCCGGCAGATGTCCTAAGTGTTAGCGTCAACAGTAAGGAAGTGGGGAGCTCCTGTTAGGGACACTAAGAGCCCAGTTTGTGCTGTCCCTAACAAAATGTGAATGAATTACATAAGAGAAACTAGACAGATCCAAATAGAGTGGCGTTGTGCATACTAACAATCCACTATATTTCTGAAGTGCTGAGGTCTTGAGCAACAACAAATTAATCCTAGGAATGAATCCACAATAGACTAAGACTTGGGAATTGAATGCAGTGTAGGATCCTGAAACAGATCAGGGACCTTTTGGGGACAATAGGCAAAATACTCTAAAGGTTTGTAGACTGTTTAGTAGTGTTATACCATGTTATTTCCTGGTTTTGATGATTATTCTGTGGATATGTAAAATGATAACAGTAGGAGAAACTGAACTCAGTATACATTATTTTAAAATTTAAACCATTTCTTTTAAAATTTAAGTAACAATTATTGTATTCTTGTTTTTATTAATCAAAGACATATATAACTACTGGAGCTTTACCAGTAACAATTGTTACTATACTGCATTACTATATGGACTTGCCCTTAATTAAGCCTAAAGTAAGAAAATTTCTTTGATTTTTAAAATATTTATTTATTTATTTATTTATTTATTTATTTATTTTTGAAATAGGGTCTCATTATATACCCCAGGCTGGCCTTGAATTCCTGGTGATCCTCTTGCCTTAGCCTCCCAAATGTTAAGATTACAGGCCTGAACCACCCCACTCAGCTCTGTTTGACTTTTTTGTTGTTGTTGTTGGAGGTTTTTTTGTTTTGTTTTGTTTTTTACTGAACCGGGGATTGAACTCAGGCCCTTGAGCTTGCCAGGGAAGCACTTATTCCACTGAGCCATCTCACTGGCCCTGATTGTTTCTTGAGACAGCATCACTATGTAGTCCAAGCTGGCCTCAAACTCTTGGTGGATCCACACACTTCAGCACCCTGAGTGCTGGGATCACTACACCTGGTTCTATGTACTCTTCCAAAAGATAACTGTTTTCCTTTGAAATACAAAAGAAACTCTTTATCATCTTTGACTATTTTTAGGAGCATGAGCTTTCCAGATTTGTAAATCACATAAATAGTGTCTAACATAGCTTTGATAATTTGTTTCTGTTTTTTGTCTTTTTAAGGTCAAACCACAGCTTGAAGAAAAAACAAATGAGTCTTACCAAGAATTCATAGCTGAAGAGTATAAAAGTCAAGTGGTTGCTGGAATAAATTACTACATTAAGGTTAGACTTCAACATCTACACTAGGACTTGGGCGGAGGGATAGCTCAGGGCTTAAGGGCCTGCCTGGTAAGGGGGTGGGGACCTCAGTTCAACTCCTGATACCAAAAACAACTACTTTTGATGTTATTTCCTGGCACCCTACCCATCATCCTCAATTAGGATGCCAGTGTGATACCTTGCAAGTGGCAGCTGCTCAGATTTGTAGAGGATCTTATGCCACTCTACTGAATTTAGAAAGCTTTGTTAATTGATTCTCAGCTCCTCATTTCTAGAAGTTATACAGAAAAGGACTTCATAACAGTTCAGGGCATGCTTGGTTTGTGGCCATGGCTGTTTTCAGTGTCTTTAGAAGGGTAACATCTCAGCTCCCTAGGGATGGGGACTATGGCAGGTACCATCACCTCAAAGCTTCATGGTCCTGAGTGTCTACATTAAATGGATTTAAGGCACGACTTGAATAATGTGTCGTGAAAAGAATTTTAACCATTTTTGCCTGTTAAGTATCTTGATTAATATTACTTAAATATACTGCAAATGTATACTAATAAAAATTAAAATTATATATAATTTGGGCTGGGGAGATAGTTTAGTGGTCTAAGCTCCTGCCTGGCAAGCATAACGACTCAGGTTCAATCCCCAGGACTGCATGTGGTGCTGGCCCTGGAACCTGGGGGTAGGGGGCAAAGCCAGTCACTGAACCCAGCCATGGTGGCGCACACCTACAATCCCAGGGTTGGGGAGGCTGAGACAGGAGGATCACTATGAGTCCGAGCTGCATAGAGAGATACTGTTTCAAATAAATAAAAACTTTTTAAAATCATATATAATTTAAATAACTTTCTGTGACTCAATTCAGCTTGTGGCACTCTCCAGTTTGAAGCAGTGGAGTATTTAAATATTGTTAAAGCTTCAGGGGTTGCACCACACACCCATAATCCCAGCATTTTGGGAAGCTAAGGCAGGAGGATTAAAAATTTGAGTCCAGTCTGGGCCATTTAATGAGATCCTGCTTCAAAATAGCAATAAAAACAAAGAGTTGTGAATGTAAGTCAGTGAAAAGACCATTAATTCAATTTTTTTTTTTTTTTTTTTTTTTTTTAAGCAGAACCAGGGATTGAACTCAGGCCCTTTTGCTTGCCAGGCAAGTGCTTATTCTACTGAGCCATCTCCCTGGTCCCTTCATTAATTCAATTTTGAATACCAAAATAAATAAATAGACACATATAAAATATTTAAAAATCAATTGTAAGGCCAGGGATATAGCTCAACAGCATAGCACCTGCCTGGGAAGCACAAGGTCATAAGTTTGATTCATAGTACAAAAAACAAAATCAATTGTATAGCTTTATCAAAAAATTAAGTGGTATACTGACTCAGTCCTAAAGGAAAAAAATCTTGTTTTGAAAGGGGGAACCTAATCAGCCAGTCCACATGGGCATGTTTGGGAGCCATTTTTGCCCTTATGTGTTGAAGAGATGACTTTTCTGACTTAAAAAATTAATAACAGCTATTCAAGTATATTTGCCTACTCTTTATAATTAACAATTTTAGAGGCCAGGGAGATGGCTCAGTAGAATAAGCACTTGCCTGGCAAGCAAAAGAGCCTGAGTTCAATCCCCAGTTCTGCCAAAAAAAAAAAAAAAAAGATATAATTAACAATTTGATCAGGGTGCAGTGTGGTTTATTTCTCTTTCATGATTATCTATTTCAAGATACAATTTTAAAAATATTTTTCGAATACTAATATTAATAATTGGAGCTAGCTAGCTCAACAATGAAAAGTTACCACACTGGGTTATGTCCATGGATCAGCCCAGTCCAACCTACTTGGGGCTCCTGGTTTACACCAGGCTCAGGGACTCCTGAATGGAACCCTGCAGTCCACAGACAGCAGTGACATTGTGGTCTCCTGTCCCAGTCCTCCCTCACAGATAGAAAAAGAATATTTTCCAGTGAAAAATTATTTTGTTGAAAAATAGGAAACATTCTGTGAAAACTAGAATCATTTAAATAATTGGTGATTAAGCCAAACACCTGAATCTCATAGATGAACCCCCTCACACATGTCTTCTTTTGTTTTTTGTTTTTGTTTGTTTGTTTTTGGGTTTTTTGGTGGAACCAGGGATTGAACTCAGAGCCTTGCACTTGCTAGGGAAGCACTTATTCTACTGAGCCATCAGTTCATCGGAAACAGGGTTGGGGAGATACCTTAGCAGCATAAGCACTGCCTGGCAAGCACAAAGTCCTGAGTTTGATCCCCAGTGCCAAGGGGAAAAAATGAAAAGAAAGAAAATTCATCAGAAACAACTTGAAATTTTATTCCCTTGACAGATTGAAGTGTAGCCTTCTCTAGTCTTTCCTGCTCCTTTTTCTCCTTCCTCTTCCTTCTCCTCCTGCTCCCTCTTCCTGACTCCTTCCCCCCTCCCTCTCTCTCACCCTTCTGTCCTTCTTTTCTTCCTTCCTCTCTCCCTCCTTCCCTCCTTCTTTCCTGCTACAATGTCAACATTCCAGCCACTGACCCCAGGTTCCTCCTTACTTCCTGGCAGTCTGGTTCTTGGTTCCTTTACTCTGGCCACTTTCCAGGTTTAAGGTCTTGCTAGTGAGCTGATGTCTCTGTGCATCTTGGGTACCTTTCAAGATGCAGCATGGTACAAGGACTGCAGGCTTTGGTGTCAGAGCCTTCTGGATTTGAACCTTGACTGGACTTGTTCATGACTGAAAGTGATGTAACCAAAGCCTCTCTGCTTCTGAGCTTAATCCCCTAACCTGAACAATGAGAATAAAACCCTGAGTCAGACACAGGTCTGAGAGCTGGGCACGTCCTCTCTTACGTAATTCTCACTAACAATTGTTGAGATGAATGAGTATAAGCTATGTTTGTTGTGCAACTGTGAGAAAATTAGGACCTGGGAAGGTGAAGTAACTAACAAAGGTCACACAAGAGCAGTCAAGATTTAGAGGCAGAGCATTGTTGTGGGGCCTGTAATCATGTTTGCCAAGATTGAAGCCTGCCCCATGCACCAAATACATACTTATAAATAAATAAATAAGTATATAAGTAAATAATAAGTACATATGTATATACAGCAAACAGTTTCCCAATTTGGAAGTCAGAAAACAGAATCACCAAAACATACAGGCTACCACTTGATTCTGCTCCATGCATCTTTGAAAGACGTGCAACTCTGGATTGTCATTTGTGCCTAAATTATAATTTTAAAAACATGATAACTAAACCTAGAGTGTATGATTTTTGCAATGACATATGCTTCTTAGCCTTTTTTGTATAAGATTGTGGTGGGCCGGGGAGATGGATCAGTAGAATAAGTGCTTGCCTGGTAAGAGCAAGCATCTGAGTTCAATCCGTTCCGCCAAAAAAAAAAAAAAAGAAGAAGATTGTGGGCTTATCGTAAGCCAGTCTAAGAATGCTGGCCTACACCTGGAATTGCCGTTCAAAAAAGACTAATAGCAGGAATGTCTTCACAGACCTGTAGACCTTTCAGTTAATGTAGATTCAGGTGAATAAATCAGCTTTTGCTTTTTCTCTCTTTTCAGATTCGGGTAGGTGACCAGAGTTATATCCACATTAAAGTATTCAAACCTCTTCCTGGACAAAATGAAGATGGGCTGGAACTTTCTGATTACCAGACAGGAAAAACCAAGGACGATGAGCTGACTGGCTTTTAGTGCTGCATTCCAAAGTGGTCTGATTCTTTGCACTGGCCACAGATTAATTATCCTTGCTAGTAAATATAACCATTAATAAATAAACATTCCTTTTCAAGTAAATTCCTGTTTTATGTATGTTTTATTAAATAGAAATGGCCTTCACTTTCTCAAAATCAGAATTTTTGTTTTAGAAGAGAAATTGCATGTTTAATCCCCAGTACCAAGGGGAAAAAAAAAAAAGAAATGAAAAGAAATTAATGAAATTAATGTTAATTAGAAATCTTAGTCCCTTTCAATCCCAGCAGGTGGGTTTTGTCTTGAGTCATCAGTTCATCAACCTCCTATTCCCTGTGATTTCTCAGAACCCAAGAGTCCCTCTTCATCCTCATATCTTAAGATTAGATCAGATATTTTACAAAATATATTTTTATTTTGAAACAATCTTAAACTCAAGGAAAAGCTGCAAAAACAAAAACAAAAACAAAAACAAAAAAAAAAACCCTTTTTCCCCAGATATTTAAGGGTTTGTCACAATCTCTGGCTTGAAGTTATACCACAAAGCTACTGTGACAAAGTAAGCATGATACTAGCAAAACAAAAAAGAAGAAAGAATAGAAAAGAAACTGAGGATCAGTGGAACAGATTAAAAGATGTAGAAACAACTACAAACATACTGAGTCACCTTATCTTTGACAAAGGGACTAGCCATGTTCACTGGAAGAAAGACGGCTTTTTAAATAAATGGTGCTGGGAAAACTGGCTTTCCACATGCCAAAGACTAAAATCTTGACTCATGTCTACCACTAAGAACTAAACTAAAGTCCAAATAGATCAATGATCTAAACGATAAAACAGAAACACTAAATCTCCTGGATAGAAAGTAGGTAGAAATCTTAAAAAACATCAGGGTAGACAGACAGCTTATGAAATAAAAGCCAAATTTTCCTGGAAGTACTTCAAAGAATCAACAACTGGGGCCTCATTTTATTAAGCAGTTTTTGCACATCAAAAGAATTCACCAACAGAATGAAAAGAAAACCCACAAATTATGAAAAAAAAAAAATAGCTGACTGTCTCTCAGACAAAGGACTTCTATACAGAACATATAAAGACTTTTTAAAAAAAAATTAGGACTACAAAATTCAAAGACCCAATCAAAAATTAATATCTGAGAGGAATACATACTTCTCAGATGAAGAAATACAAATGGCAAATAAATATATGAAAAAATGTGCAATATCATTCATAATCCAAGAAATGCAAATTAAAACAACAATGAGAGTTCATCTCACCCCAAAAAGAATAGCTATCATCAAGAAGTCAACTAATAACAAATGTTGGAGAGGCTGTGAGATAAAGGAACCCTTCTCCACTGTTGGTGGTAGTGCAGACTGGCACAACCACTGTGGAAATCAGTGTGGGACTGGAGGTTCCACTGAACTCAGCTATTCTCCTCCTGGGTATTTTTCCAGAATAAATGAAAACATACCACAGTGATATATGTGCACCCATGTTTATAGCAGCACAATTTGTAGTAGCTAAATCTTGGAAACAACCAAAATGCCCATCAATTGAGGAATAGATAAAAAAAAAAAGATGTGGCATTTTTATACAGTGGAGTATTACTCAGCTATAAAAAAGTCAAAATCTGAGAGTTTTATAGGTAAATGGACCACAGAAATCATACTCACAGATGAAATAAATCAGACCTGCATGTGTAAACATTGTATTGTCTTCCTAGTGTTAGACTCCAAAAATAAACAAAATCTGAAAGTTACAATAGATACTGTGAAAGGGAAACAAAGGAAAGGAACAATTAGAATGAAAGGAAGGAAGGAATAAAGAAAGAAAAAAGAGAGAAAGAAAGAGAAAGATAGAAAGAAAGAAAGAAAGAAAGAGAAAGAAAGAAAGAAAGAAAGAAAGAAAGAAAGAAAGAAAGAAAGAAAGAAAGAAAGAAAGAAAGAGAAAGAAAG